CCTCTGGAATTCCCAAATCCCATGGATGGAACCTGTCTGAATCCAGTTCCTCTGGAATTCCCAAATCCCACCCACCCCATCCCATAAATCCAACCTCCAGGAGAATTCCATGGGAAGCAATATCCCAAAATAAAATAAAATAAAATAAAAATCCTGGAATTCACAGAGATTTAACCCAGAGCTCTCTCCTTCCATCCGAGGTTCCTTCGGAAAATTTGGGATAATTGGATGGGATTGGAATTTTTGGGAAGTGGGAAAGGGAAAAGCGTTGGAAATGCCAAATGGATGGAATTCCCAAAATTCCTACGGGAACGGGAAGTGGAGGAATTTTATCCCAATCCTAAAACTGTAGGAATTTCCCCCCAATCCCCAAATCGTTGGAATTTTCACTTGAATTGTAGGAATTTCACCCCAGTTGTGGGAATTTTGTCCTGATTTCAGGAATTTCATCCCAATCCCAAAATCATAGGAATTTCACCTCAATCCCAAAATTGTAGAATTTGACCCCAATCCCAAAATTATTGGAATTCCACCCAAATCCCCAAATCGTAGGAATTTCACTCCAGATGTGGGAATTGGACCCCAATCCCAAAATTGTTGGAATTTCACCCCAATTATAGGAATTCCACCCAAATCCCAAAATTGTAGGAATTTGTCCCCAAATCCCAAAATTCTAGGATTTTCAACTCAATTGTGGGAATTCTACCCCAATCCCAAAATTATAGGATTTTGTCCCCAATCCCAAAATTGTTGGAATTTCACCCCAATCCCAAAAAAATTTGTAGGAATTCCATCCCAATCCCAAAATTACAGGAATTTGACCCCAAATCCCAAAATTGTAGGAATTTCACTCCAGCTGTGGGAATTTGACCCCAATCCCAAAATTCTTGGAATTTCACCCCAATTTTTGGAATTTCACCCCAATCCCAAAAATCTCCTCCCGGCATCTTCTCCCCAATTAATTTTTTTTTTAAAATCACCGACCGCCCTCTTGGAAAATCTGGGAATTCCTCTTTTCCCGTTCCTAAATCCTCCCAAAAAATCCCAAATTTCCAAC